ATCACATGTTCTTGATGAATGAACAGAAAGCCTGCCTTGGGTTCAGGAAGGTCTATGTTCATGTCCTATCTGTGATATATATTGGCTATGTGACCACATGAAAATAACATAACCTCTTAGTGTCCTAGATAACTCTCTATGACTACAAATTGCAGAAAATATGCAGAAATGTGCATGGAGGAGTCTCACCTAAGAGTTCCCTTTACCAGTGTAACCAAAGCTGCACTCCCTATCTCTAATAATGGTATACGACCTAATTCACAGAGATATTATTAAGAAGCTCATGAATTGAAATGGGACAGTGAACTCATTGATTTGGAAACTCCCTCCAACAAAAGTCTGGCAGGATGGATGGGTATGGAGAGTTGGTTATTTACACAGTTACAAGGACAGCAATTTTTAAAATTTAATTTGCTTTTAGAGAATGTGAGGTGTAGAAAGATGCAAAGGCAGCTGACATTTATTAAGCACTATGTACCAGGTGCTGTCCTAAGTGCTGAAGCTAAAAGATTTCTTGTAAAGGTGGATATGAGCTGAGAATGAAGGAAGCCAAGAATGCCAGGAGGCAGAGATAAAATGGAGCGTTCAAAGTGTGAAGGAGAGCCAATGAAAATGCCTGGAGCTGAGAGATGGAGTGCTTTGTGCTAGGAATATCAAGAAGGCCAGTATCACTGAATTTAGGAATATTAGAATTTTATATTTAGATTTATAACATTAGATTTGGAATCAAAGGACTTGAGTTTAAGTCCCCAATATGATGACACTCCCTTTCTGTGGTTAGGTGAGTCACAATCCTCACTGGCCCTCAGTTTCCTAATCTTAAAATGAGAGGGTTGGACTAAATGATCATGAGTTCATTCCAGATCAAGATTTATTATCCGACAGGGCAAAGTATTGTGGTGTAGAGGGAAGAGATGGGAACTGGCTTCAGAAAACAGGTTCTAACCTCAGCACAGCCACTAACTCTCTGCAATCTTGTCTAAGTCACATTTGTACTTTGAGCTTTCACTTTCCTTGTCTGAAAAACGAGGGGATAAAATCTATCCTCTTTGAGATTCATTCCAAAGCCAAGATTCTCTGATTTTATATATATTCTTTTAGGCAATTGGGGTTAAGTGACTTGCCCAGGGTCATACAGCTAGTAAGTGTCAAGTGTTTGGTCTGAGGCTGGATTTGAATTCAGATCCTCCTGATTTCTGGGCCGGTGCTCTATGCACTGCACAACCTAGCTGCCCCCAAATTCTCTGATTTTAAAAGGGATCACAGCATATTAGATAAAGAGCTGGACATGGAATCATAAAGACTTGGGTTCAAATTCTGTTTTAGATACTTAGCAGCTGCATGACCCTAGACAAGTTATGGAACCTATATAGGTACCATTTTTCTCATGTGCAAAATAATGAGGACAAGGTTTACAAGTAAGTGTAAAGCTCTACAAACTTTAAAAAAGAACATGGATGTAAGATATCTTCACAATCATCATCAAATGGTTTTTACTTGGAGCTGAAAGAAATGATTACAAAAGAATCCAGAGTGATATTTAGCCATGTCTATGCAGTTAAATAAAAGGGGAACATTGGTCAGATTTTCAATTAATTTAATTAGCATAAATACATAGCCCGAGAAATTTAGTTTAGATGATGCATTTAACTTATTTTTAACAAGTCAAGTCATTGTTATCTTGCTTCTCTATGCAACTGAATCAACCCACCATGTAATCAATAGATTCAGTTTAATGGAACATAGTTGAACAAACAGCAACTATACTCCCAGTTTTAGTTCTACATTTTGTTCATTAGGTTTATGAGATGATAATACATTACATTTGCCATAATTACATATTACACATAAATATATTACTTTATGCTGTAACATAGAACTATAAGAAGTCATTCTAGTGCCTAGGGAAAGTGAGGGGAGGGAGCAGGGCAGACTGTAGTAGGCTAGATTGTAAATTGGGTAGAGTGCTATATATAGTTGAAGTCAAGAATACCTGAGTTCAAATTTTGTCTCACACACTTATTAATTTTGTGTCCCTGGACAGCTGACTTAACCTCTTCCAGCCTCAATTCCCTCCTTTGGAAAATGAAAGAGTTGAACCTAATAGCCTCCCATGACCTTTCCAGCTCTGAGTTTATGATTTATAATTCTAATGCATCTTGGGCCCAGAAAGGCCTCAGGATCTTGCCTCAGGCATATGATATCCTTGCATTTCATTATACTATTTGTGGGCTTTCATACAAGCTACTCTCAGTTGAATGTAGCCACACCACAAACCTGGAATTTTCACTGGCTGTTCCCCCATGTCTGGAATGCTCTCCTTCCTCATCTCTGCCTCCTGGCTTCCTTTAATTTACAGCTAGGATCTCATGTTTTACAGGAAGCCTTTTCTGATCTCCCTTAATTTAATTGCCCTTCTTCTATTGATTATTTCCTATTTATCCTGTATATAACTTGTAATTATATAGTTATTTACATGCAGTCTCCTCGATTAGATAGTGAGTTGCTTGAGAGCTGGGAAAGTCTTTAACCTCCCTTTGTACAAACACACCTACTTATTATATGATAGGTGTTTAATATATGTTTATTGATTGACCAGGAAGGATGATTTTTGTTTCTCAGAAGGCCTGTGCTATGCCTTCACAATGCAGCTAATGGTTCTCCTCAAAAAAACAACAACAATAACAACAACAAAAAAAAACTTTAAATGTAGATGAGACCAGAGGAGGAAATAGGAAAAGGACATAGGGGTCTGGAATATGTCAGAATGGAGTAACAATCTATAGCAAATGCAGCAATGAGACTGGAGAACCAAGGAAAAAGGTAGGAGGGGGAGGAGCAAGGCAATGGTGTTGACCTTAGTGTTGAGGCCTATGACCCAGAAGAGGCAGCAGGCCCATGAATGCCCAAGGTCAAGGCATTCATGGTCAGGAAAGGAGAGCAGTCCAGAAATACCCTTCTCTATATATTGTATCCTGGATAAAACCCCACTTCATTTATCCTAGTTATGACTACCATACATATAGTCCTTTCAAGAATCCTATGAAATGTGTGCTATTATCTCCATTGTCTTTCATATCTATCTATCTATCTATCTATCTATCTATCTATCTATCTATCTATCTATCTATCTATCTACAGCCTCAGAGAATAGCCAGAAGGGAGGAAAAAGGTATGGAGATAGCTTTACCATAATTCCTAAGCATGGTATTTTTTTATACTTATCCGAATAGTCACCTATTCTTCTTCAACATTTTAAAATATTATCTCTGGAAACTTCTTTCACCAATACAGACTTCAAACCCTCCAAACCCTGGGTGTGTACACATGAATGCACACACACACACACACACACACACACACACACACACACACATATACACACATAACTGTATATATTATTCAGTTACATTACATATGTGTGTGTATATATATATATATATATATATATATATATATATATATATATATATATATATGTGTGTGTGTGTGTGTGTGTGTAGATAGATAATGTCACTGAGGTTAAGAGGCATTAATGTCCACTAGAAAAAGAATCATAACATATTACATGGATAGGCAGGCATTTTAAACTCAATTCCTTTCCTAAAACTCATCATGACACAGAGGATGCCTAGAATTCCCAAAGTTTATGCTAGCTCAAGCCTAGCAATGGATAGTGGCAGTTGAAGGACAGAAGAAGGTGTCAAAGAGCTTTTTATGAGAAAGTTATGGCATATTAGTAGTATGACAATGAACAAATCACTTAACTTCTCTGATCCTCAGTTTCTTCATCAGCAAAATGGGAATAATAATATCAGTTTTATATATGCATATATATATATATATACACACACATACACACATACACACACACATACACACATATCACAGAGTTGTTGTGAGGATCAATGAGAGAATGTATGTAAAGCATTTTCTAATCTTTAAAATAATACAAAAATGCCTATTACTAATATTAATAATCTATATCATGATTTTGTTTATTTTCTTCCTTTCAGAAAGAGATAGAACTAACCTATTAATATTCTTTTTTAAAATTCAGTGTTATACAGACTCTTGCCCAGGTGAGCAGAAATAAGTTTTTTTGTAGTTGAATAAAAGTATTGAGATGTAAGGTCATCCTCTATAAGCATAGTACAACTCCAGTAGCAGACAAGATGATAGGGATGATGCATCCTCCCACCCCAATCCTATTCCTGTCTTATTTTGATTTCCTTTCCTAGGTTTTGATTTTGAAAGCTTTTAATTCCAAATCATTTGGAGGCTATGAGTATTGAAATTGTTTTTAATTTTTTAATGTATCAATTACTATGACTATCTTACATTATTGTTGTTCTTATTGTTATGAGGTTATAACTTTGGGAAGCACAGAAACTTATGGACCCATTTCTTAAGGCATGGAGGGTTTGAAGTGTGTATCACTTAAAGAAGCATCCAGATGAAATATTTTGAAATATTAAAGATGAATAGATGAATATTCAGAAAAGTATTACTAGGAATACCACACTCAGGAATTAAAGCAAAACCATCTCCACACATTTTTCCTCTTACCTGGCTATTTGTTTTAGGATGTGGGTAAGCTACCTTACTACCTTTGCTGGAAGAAAGCACCACTTGGAAAATCCAACCTATAAACAACATTTGCTACTACTTGCCTTTTCTTTTTTCAGTCCTTTGCCCTAGTATAGTTTGAAAAATAAAAATGGACCAGCTTCATTATTCTTATCCCAGATTCAAAACTGATCATTTGCCGAAAGTCATTCCCTAGACTTGGTTCACTTTAGAACCATTGTAATTCTAACTCAAGTGCCTAGAGATGGTATATGGCAGATATTTTTGATGATGTATTCAAATTCTTCCTCTTTTAAAGACCCTGTATTTGGCCTTCCATACAATGGTGTCCCCCCCTCCACCTCCAGATCTGGGTCCTTCATTCCTGGATGCACCCAGTGACCTCTTTTCTTATCCACTGCCAGACTTACCTGTCTGCCCACCAAGCTTGACACTCAACCTGTGGGGAATTCTTGAGGGGACCTTCAAGGTAACTCGGACTTGATAATGCCTATGGACAAAAGAAAGAAGAGTCTGTTGTCATAGGATATTGACTTGTGTTCCTCATTATGAAGAGAAGCAGACAAAATCCTGCCTCTCTTAGGTCCCATTTAACACTGGTATTCATAATCAAAGTATAGTTAATGAGATGTCCTGTTAAATGAAAGACATCATAAGAAAAGATGTCTGTCATCATCACCATCCCTCCCTAATAATTCTTTCTTTCTGCTGGCTCCTTCCACCAGCTGGATAAGGGTTTCCTTTGACCCAATCAGTCCTCTCCAGATATCATTTTCTAATGATCACACCATCATTGATTAAATTCTAAAAAGAATCAACTCAATTTATCCCTCCAATTCTTCATTCCTAACTCAATCCTCAAGGCCTATTCTTCCTTCTGCCACCTTAATGAAAATATTCTCTGAGGTCACCAATGGCCTCTTATTTGCAAAATCAATTGGCTTTTTCTCAATCCCTATCCTTGACCTATCTGTAGCCTCTGATTCTGTGGATCAGCCCTCTCCTTCCTCACATGTTTTCTCCCTCAGTTTCTATGACATTTCTTTCTCCTGGCTCTCCTCCTATTTCTCTCAATTAATAATCTCCTTTGATAGACTACCTTTATTCCCATCCTAAATTTATATTTAGGTGTTTCTCAAGGCCTATTTTTCTTCTCTGTTTTCTTCTCTCTCTTCCTTGTTGATTCATTCACTCCCATGGTGATCTTATCCAGGGGTGTGCTAGAGCCATCTTTTACAGGCTGAGGACATAGTGAAAGTTTCAATGTGAGCACAAATGCCACAGAAATTAGCAAAGGCTTTAAGTCATAGACTGAGTTATTTTTTTCTTGATTGTCTAGACGTAAGAAAGTGACAGAGAAAATGTTAATAATGCAGATTAAACTTAAAAGTGTGTCTTATACACATTTTTCCCCATACACTTGGTTGTTAAATATTTGCCAGCATAATCTTTTATCTTAGCCACTCACCTAATTTCAACAGTACCCTCTATATGAACAGAATAAAACTATATATTTAACTATGAGCTTAAGTTACATATTTTCAAGTGGATATATCAATACTATTGTCTTACTGGCCTTTCAAATTCAACTGAATTCATTACCTCTTTCAAAAACCTCCATTTCTGTTGAAAACACCCATTTCTGTTGAAATTAGTCATTCAACCTCAAAACCTTTAAGCAACCATATTTATTGATCATTTACTGCAAAGCCTTTGACTCGGTTTCATAACCATGGCTTGTTAATGTGTTACAATATGCTGAAAATACTATTGTTTAGCTCTAGTCATTCATTCCAGTCACCTTCCACCTTGACACTACTTCTATATCCTGGACCTCCAGTAACCACTATCTAGAGGATCTTTGGACCTTCTGCCTGTGGTCCATGTTAGCCTTATTGGTGATACCTTACTATATCCAGTTGCCCTCAAACTAAATGATATTCTTTCATCCTAGCCTGCTTCTGATCTGACAATGCTGCGGCTGCTGTACTTTCCAATTGGACCTCAAAGAAATTATGACAAGGTGAAAGTTTAGAACTAGAACCAGGGCATCCTAATTGGTGAGATACCACTCTATCTATCTGGCCACAGATTTTACTATGCTTTTTTACCCTATCCATTTGCTGACCTGCTGCTATTTCAGAAATCTTTCCAACATACCTCCAAACACTAAAAGATTTAGAACTCTGGACCTGGGGCAAGGATGTCCTAACTGGTGAGACCTCATTTTATCTAGTCAGTCCCAGATTCTTTCATGCTGTTTCTCCTTTAGTAATCCTTTTGCCTTCTGCTTCATGTATATTCCACTTCCTGCCCAACTTTGTTCTGGGAACTATATTGATATTAACAATTAACATAGTAATTAAGTATTACTTTGAGAAAGGTCATGCAAATTGATTTCCCTCTTGTGCCATTCATGATCCCTTTGACTTCCCAAATTAAAACATCCTTCTCTGGACACTATTCTTTTCTATATGTTGTCTCCCTCTAATAGAATATAAGTTCCTTAAGGGAAAGAATTATCTGACTTGTGCACTATACCTCTAGACTTTGCAGAGTGCTTATGGTAAGCAGTTAATAAATCTTTTTTAATTGCCTTATTCTATTTAGGAGAGATTATAGATTTAAAGCTAGGAAGAACCATAATGGATATCCCTAAGAAATGCTATTAAAAATCAATTATCCTTGATATTTTTGTGCTGATGGCCTGTTATAGAGAACATTTTTTTTCCATATGGACATCACATACTTAATTCTTCCCACTATACTTGGATATTCCTTATATGTTTGCATTAATTGAACAAGATGAGTGTGGAACTGAGTCAAACACTTTGGAATCATTAATGAAGGTGGTGAAAATGTCATGGTATTTTCAGGCAGCTTTGTAAATCCCTTTTGAATCAATAATCAGTGGATCTTTACAATGTTGATATTATTTATCACTTTCATTTTGCTCCTCAGTAATAAGTATTATGTTTTCTCATAATTATTTATAGAATTTTGGTGATAGAATCTGTGAATGCTCTGTATAAAATGCAGAAACATGAAATTGGGAAATACATTAAGTTATTCCTGTAATTCTCACCTTTTTGATAGTGTAGTAGTATGCAAATGAACTGGGACAAATATAGTAATAATATATTAATTTATAGAATAAACTTTTTTTAAGTTTAACATGTATCTTTTTTGGCTGAACCTACTTTTTATATGATTTGTCATTGAGTACACAAGATTTTTGATAACTATACCCTAACTCTTCATTATGAAACCGCATCTTTATAACTGGAAATTAAGCATACTTTTGAAAAATAGTGTACTTTTCCAAGGGATTAAATCAGGTGAGTTCCCAGGCCACTAGAGCCTGTTGATCTCCATCTCTTGGACAAAACATATGACACAAATAACATAAAATAAGGCATGGTGAAAGACTGTATTGTACTGTTCCATTTCCATTTCTCTAGTTCTGTAACTCTGGAGCAAAGAGTCCACTAATATATGTTTTCAAAGTTCAGCATTGTCTTAATGGGTATGTCTACCAGTTCCATTGGAATTAAGATTAAAAATTTTAGGGATGGACACATTACTGTCTGTTGAAGATGCTTAGATCTTACAGGCTCATAGGGGATTCTTTTGACAGTGGTTTTGGTATAGAAATAATAGAAAAATTGAGTTTCAGTCAGTGAAAGACATCTTTTGTCCAACCTTCAGGACTTTGATCTTTCTATTGTCTTGTCCATGATAAGCATTTTATTTCCTGCATAATCATAGTTAGCAGTTAGGTGTTGTTATTTTTCCTTTGCTATAGACTAACCGACCATTGTACCAGGTAGACACTGGTATCATCTTCCTATCTTTTTTCACAGGTCTTCAATAGTTTTCTCAAGCCTCTTCTATCTTATGGATCTTATGTTCAAGTACTGAAATATATGTATGTCTGTTTATAAAGCCAAAAGTTTGACATCTCTACTCTAGACAACTTTCTAAGCCTATAAGTTACAGGAAAAAAAAATGCTGACCTGAATTTTTAGAGAGCATTTCCTCACCCAAGAATTCTCTATAGCAAAGACATCACAAGTCTAATCTCTATATTTCACTTTTGGTAATAGTTCTGGAGTTCATGTTAAGTATAGGTGGTCAATTCTTTCAAAATCTTTGGCTTTCTACTCTCACATATAAGTAACTACTACTCAATTTCTACTCTCATTTCTTCCAGTCTTGGTATATAGAAACAAATATATTTCTGATTGCCCCAAAATGATCAATAAAATTATTGTGTAACTTGGCACTGAGGACATAAATGACAAAAAAAAGTTGTGTGGTGTCCTTGCCCATAACTGCTAAATTCTATTTCCATTGTAGTTATGATGTATTGCTGATGCATATTAAAATCATGGATATATTCAGTTGATTTCACTTGTGCTTTAAATGCTTCAGCGGTTAATATCAAAGCACTGCCAGAGGGTACTGGTATTTCAGATTTGTACCTATGTATTTTGCATTCTTGTGGCACTAAAACATTTCTTCTGCTGGTCTTTGTGTCAGGCTGGTGATCATCACCATCTTGGTGGGGCCAAGAAACTCTATGCTGCCATCTATTTCTTAGATTTGCAGGTGTAGTTATATCACACCGGGAAGGTTGCTAATCCAAATCACTGGCATCGCCAGAGTCCAACTAGCCAGAATTTCCAGATTCCTGTTAATACCATGCCAATCTCATAGCACACAGAGCCCCAGCTATATTATCATATTGGCTGGCCTTTTCTTACTTTGTCATTGCTATCTCTAATTATGACAAGGGTAATTGGTTGGGCTGTTAGTGCATTATTTTTTTTTATCAATATGATCATTGCCATTATTAACTAGTCTGCCAACATATTTCATTTACTTTAATTTTTTTTCCCTAAAGTATGTTAATCTGCTTTTGTCACTCTCCTGTCTCCACACTTTCAGTGGCTGCCTATTGACTACAATAGAAATTCCTAAAGCCTGACATTTGAGACCCTCCACAATTAAGCTTTAAACAATAAGCACGTGTCACCTTCATCTTTTATGCACTACATTAGAGTCAAACAAGACTATTGAGTATTCTTGGATTACATGTTGTACTCTGCATACATTTGCATAAGCCATTTCTCATGTCTGGGATGAAAAGTACCTTCTCATTTCTGTAAATAAATATGAATCTTCTTTCAAAGCTAAACTCATGGACCATCTATTTGTCAAAGCCTTCCTATATCCCCACTCAGCTAAAAGTGATCTCATTCCTCAAAAAGGTTCATTCACTCTAATGAGAAAATATTTATAAAGCACTCATTACAGAGCCTGGCACATAGTAGGTCCTTAATAGATACTTGTTCCCTTCCCTTCTTCTTTTTTATAAGCATTTATTAAGTGTTTATTGTGTGCCAGGCACTTTGATAAGTACTGGATATTCAAATGCAGACATTAATCAGTCCCTGCTCTTATGGGTCTTACATAGAATTTTATCTT